GTGTCTCACTGTAAGGTTTACAGTCTGATCTTTTTGAACATCTCCAGGGAAATGGCTTCAATCCGAGCCCGATAGATACAAGCAACGTGGTCCTGTCCAGAGAATTGCAGGTGAGTGACCTCACATTTGCTTTGTTGTACTTTTTTCCTTTTTAACATCAAACGATCTCTCAGTCTGAATACAAGATGAAAGGCAATATTTCCTGAATGTGAATGAGTAACGTGGGCGGGACATGCTCCTCACTGAGATGTACTGTTTTTGTCTTTGGTCCAAGGGGATGGTGGAGGTGCTGGCTGAAAATTACCATAACATTTGGGCCAAGAAGAAAAAGGGCGACCTTGGAAGCAGAGGTGATTTTCTAATGAAGTCAATCATAGACGCATAATTACATAGAGATACCTGCAAAACAGAGAGGAAGAGAGAGTATGTGTCTGTGGGTGGATGTAAAATGCCTCTCTCTGTGTTTATATGTGCCTCTGAGCATATGCATGTGTCTGCCTTTTCGGTCTTGATTAAATAGGTTCAGCTGACTGGTACATCCACTTCGTGTCACCATCTGCCTTCACACAGACACACAGCAGAGCCGTGGCTTATCAAGTCTTACCTAACACTGGGTTGTCTTGTCTGTGGTTTCAGGTGGGGGAACTCACCCTCTGTTGGTGCCCTACGACACGCTGACAGCCAAGGAGAAGGCCCGTGATCGAGAGAAGGCCCAGGACCTTTTCCGTTTCCTGCAGATAAACGGCTATAGCATCACAAGGTCAGTTATTTCAGGACGTTGGCCATATATTGTCATGCTGATGTCTTCCAGACAACTTTACACTACCTCATAACTTTTCCTTTTCATAGTTGGTGGTCAGCAGAGTCCTTAATTAAATGCTGTGAAAAAATTCTAGTGGTATTAAAGTGTTGTTTTATAGCTAATATCTCATTGTGTTGCAGAGGTTTGAAGGACTTAGAGCAGGATTCCTCTTCAATGGAGAAGAGGTTTGCTTACAAGTTCCTCAAGAAGCTGCTCAAGTATGTTGACTCAGCTCAGGAGTTCATCGCTCACCTGGGTACGGTAATATTCCATAGGACCTGACTCCAAGAGACTTAAAGTTGTCTTGTTACTTACTGTTAAACATGTATCTTATGCTCTAACTCCAGAGGCCATGGCTGCCAGTGGAAAAACAGACAGGTCTCCTCATGAGCAAGAAATAAAGTTTTTTGCCAAAGTAAGGATGTGATGTAAAATACAGCTGCTGTACATATATAAAGAAACTCTTTTAAATGAAATTCCCATCAACCTGGATCTAATCCAGTCATTACCTTTGTCCTTCTTCAGGTTCTCCTTCCTCTTATCGACCAGTACTTCAAGAATCACTCTCTCTACTTCCTCTCCTCCCCTAATAAGAACCTTAGCAGCAGCGGTTACGCCTCCAACAAAGAGAAGGAGATGGTCACCAGGTAAAAAAAAAAAATTCCATTTTCTTTACCTACACCAATAAAGCATGACAGTAACTCTTTACCATTCTTTACCTAAAACCTAAACTCTTATAATCTTAATTACTAATCTTTCCAAGAATTTACTCACTGTAATTGTCTGATTTCCTCCCTTTGTCTATCATCACACCTCCAGCCTGTTTTGTAAACTGGCAGCTCTTGTCAGACATAGGATTTCTCTCTTTGGTAAGCTGATAACTACTGACTGGCTGTTTGTGTGTGTGTGTGT